TCTGATTTTGCAATAAAAAAAATCTGAAAATCTTTGGTGTCTCTCTCTCTCTCCTTTCAAGAGGCACCCACCTCCCGGGGGTGCTGTTCTCTTCCCTTTTCTTTCTAAGTTCACCTGATCACTTTGCAAATAAAGCCGCTCTGTCTGCAACCAATCCCCGGCTTTTTATTTCTATACTAAGCTGAGAAAAAAAAACCCACTGAGCTTTGCCGGTAACAACAGAGACATGGAGAGAGCTTCCATCACTGGTTTATTCCCCAGACACCTGTGGCTGATGGCCCGGGTCAGGCAGAAACCAGGAGCCAGGAGCTTCATCCAAATGGGAGGACCTTCTGGGTCCAACGCCTGCTGACTCCCACGTCAGTACGAAGCTGAACCAGAAGTGGAAGAAGTAAGACTCAAACGCAGGATGCAGACGCCCTGCAGGGCACCTTAAATGCTGCCTGAAATGTCCACCACTACACAAAACTATCAGAGTTATTAAAAATAGTGAGGTCACAGGAGCTGTCAGGGCAGAGGCACAGAGGAGACGGAGTGCTTAAACGCAATATGGCATTCTGAGTGGAATCCTGGAACAGAAAGGGGGATTAGGGGAAAGTGACAAGGCTATGAACTGGAATATGAAATCTGAAATCAGTTCATCATAATGTGCATTGTGGATCCTTTAGTTGTGACATGGAAAGAGCAGATATTCACAATTAAAAAAAACTGAACTAGGGATATAAAAGCAATCTCTGTACTATGGGCAACCCTTCTGTAAATCTAGAACTTTCCAAAAACAAGTTAATTCTAAGAGGGATATCTTTATCAAAGAACCCACTGGAATACTATAAACACAGGAATTGAATCCTGCGGCTGATGTGGTTCTCCATCCCAAGAAATCATAGAAACGGAGCAGAGCAGTCAGCATCCTGGTGAATGGAAACATCCTGCTTGAAGCAGGATGTCAGCCAAAGTCTTAATTCATGTAGATTCCATATTTAAAGATCACGCAGTATAATTTGTATTTCTTCATTATTGCGATGACTTTTCAACTCAGACTGGAGCATGTGACAAATGAGGAGTTAATCTTTGGCAACTATAGGACGGAGTTCTTGCAGTTCTATGGAGTAAGTTTCTCAGCTGGTGCGCAGTAATTACACTTAACCTTGGCTGCGAAGGTCACGATGCAGCTCCAGCAAATGTTACAAACACTTCGCCTGTGTTGAGATGTTTCTTCCAGCAGGGGGCGCTGTTAACCATCAGATGTTCTGGCATTGGTTAATGGAGAAGCCTACAGTCTACTTGAAGTGGATTTGCAAGATGACGAAAAGAAAAAACATACCTTCCGAAATCTCCAGTAACAATATCACTGCTACGGCAGGAAAGGGATAGTGGACAACAGCACGCATGATCAGGCAAGGGCTGCTTCATGGAAGAGAGATGTATTGGATAATACCAGAAACAGCCTTTGGAGGTGCTGGCTTTGGTATACTGTATGTTACTGGCACAATTGTAAAGTGACAAAATTAGAGATACCTTTTCTCAGTCAGACCTGCGTCTTTGAGAAGAAACATTCAAAGAAGGGATTCTTGGAGTGTCCTGATCGGCCACTGTTTGGTTCTCTGGAGCACTTTACAGGATAACTGGTACATTCATATCATTTATCTAAGCAAGAGCGGCCAACACTCCCTACGCACGCTCACGTGCGCGCGCGCACACACACACAAAGGTCCATTTCAATTTTTCAATGACTTCTTCTTTCTATTAAGTCCAAATATAGGACAGAATTATTTTCGTAATGTGTATTTCTATATTTACTTTTAAAGGTTGATTGACTGATTTGAAAGAATTACGCAAAGAAAGACAGAGAGAGATCTTCCATCCTCAGATGGCCACAATGGCCAGAGCTGGGTGGGCAGGTCCAAAGCCGGGAGCCAGGAGCTTTTAAGTCTCCCACATGGGGGCAGGAGTCCCAAAACTCGGGCGGTCCTCTGCTTTCACAGACGCATTAACAGGGAAGGGAAGCAGCTGGGACTCAAACCAGTAACCACAGGGAATGGCAGTGCTGCACGTGGAGTCAGCTTGCTATGACATGACACCAGCCCTCGGCATCAAGTTTAGAGTAGATTTTCATTATGTTCACATGAAATAAGTGATTGAAGAAGTGGCCATGTGCTTGTCAGTCACTCTAGATCATGCCCACCCATTTTATTAAAAAAAAAAACAAACAAACTCATAAACACTTCTACCCAGGAATTAGAATTGCAGTATGTGTATGTTATACTGCGCTTTCTGGGAATTTTGAGGAAAACAACTAACTCTGTATCAATCAAAATGCTTAAATGTTACTTGGAAAAAAAAAAAACAGAAAGAGGAATAGAATAACAAGGGACAATAAGAAAAAAAGACCTATCATAAAAGTCCCTGGCATGTTGGGGACAGGTGGTCAGAGGATCTCCCTAGGATGCCAGGATCTCTGCCAGGATCCCAGGATCTCCCAGGATGCCAGCGCTGACGGAGGGCGGCAAGCTAGCCCCGCTTGTGTTGATCCAGGTGGGGCCAGAAAACTCAGTTCCTGAGCCCCGTGTCTCGTTAGCAGAGCAAGGTCCCACAACACAAGCCAAGGGAAGCCACACTCAGTGCGGGCCTCTAGTCATTCTTCTTGCTCAAGCTTTGTTGCAGAAAGGTCCAATTGTCCTATCTGGGGTCAACAAAATTTCTTTTTTTTAAGATTTATTCATTTTTATTGGAAAGTCAGATATACAAAGAGGAGGAGAGACAGAAAGATCTTCCTTCTATTGTTTCATTTCCCAAGCGGCTGCAAAGGCCGGGGCTGAGCTGATCTGAAGCCAGGAAGCAGGAGCCTCTTCCAGGTCTCCCACACAGGCACTGGGTCCCAAGGCTTTGGGCCATCCTCTACTGCTTTCCCAGGTGACAAGCAGGGAGCTGGATGGATGGGAATCAGGGCCACAGGGACACAAACCAGTGCCCGTATAGGATCCTGGTGTATGCATGGAAAGGACTTTAGCCACTAGTCTATTGCACCAGGCCCAGCATTTATTTTCCTTTGAATTGGCTCCTTTGAATTTTTTTTAATGTAATATTACTGAGGGGTTCGTTGCCATCTAAGTTGGGTGTTTGTTTGCTTGAAGTTCCAGAAAGATCTTAGACATTTTCTGCCTTGAAGACAGTACCAGCCACATGGGTAAAGAAGAATCCTATTTCAAAACATGATCTGGGCACTAACAATGCCCACTGCCTCTGGCTGACTGTTGTCTCCAGGCCCCCTCAATTATATACTTTTTTTTTGAAACAAGGAAGGGGCCAGCGTTTATAACACCCCCTTCCAATTCAAATAGCTCTGTGGTGTTTTCATACACCAGTACTTTGTGGCTCATAAACTCTAGGATTCCACTTTATTCTGTGCTGAAATCCTGAACCTCAAGGTCACAGAGAATGACAGAAGGAAAATATCCATTAATGATTTATTTAACCCACAGCAGTCTCAGATTTCAGAATTTACTACTTCCCAGGAGAAGACAGTCTGTTCTTGCTGACTTCAAGGAAGGTGAAGCCACAAAGCTTGATAACTTCGCCTACACCATGTGGGTTCAATCATGCTTTCTCTCATGTTTACTACTGAACGATTCATGCATTTACTTCAAAAGCAGAGCAACAGAGAGAGAAAGAAATGGAGATAAAGTTATTCCACCCATTGGTCCACTGCCTAAATAGCTGCAATAGCCAGGGTTGGGCCAGGGGGAAACCAGAAGCCAGGACTCCAGCCAGAACTCCAACATGGATGTCAGGAACCCGAATGCTTGGACCAACATCTGCTGCCTCCCAGATGTATTAGTAGGAAAGCGTGAGGAAGAGGAGGATCTGAGACTTGAACCAGGGACTCTGCTATGGGGTGCAGGTTTCAATGCAGGGGTCAAGGTTACCCATCGTGTCACCACATCCAGCCCTGGCTTACACTCTTACCCAGGCCCATCCTCTTCTACAAAATGCTGAATCAAGTTACTAAGACCAGTCCTTCAGGGTGAAGCTTACTTTCTTAATGGGTTAAAATACCAACAAATATAGATAAAAATATTTTTTTTAAAAATATTTTTTTAAAAAATGAAAGAGGGGCTGACGTTGTTGCACATCAAGTTAAGCCTCTACCTGCGGCATACTGGTCCCGTGACTCCACTTTCGATCCAGCTGCTTGCTGGTGCATCTTGGAAAGCAGCAGAAGATGACCCCACTTCTTGGGGTCCCTGCAACCACATGGGAGACCTGGAAGATGCACCTGCTTCCTGGCTCCTGGTATTGACATGGCCAAGCCCTGGCCATTACAGCCATTTTGACAATGAATCAGAAGCTAGAAGATCTCTCTCTCTCCCCCTCACTCCCTCCTTCTTTCTTTTTTTCCTCTATGTTGCTCTTCTTTTCTCTGTAACTTTGCTTTTCAAATAAACAAAAAATAATTCTTAAAGAATTGAAGAAATGTCAAGAAAGGAAGGAATGAGCAGGCAATCTGTGAAGGGAGGCCAAGGCATGAGAAGCATAAACACAGTAACTTCATTTGCTTTGATAGTCACTATCTACCCTACAGATTTGCATTTTCATTTCAGGGGTCTTTTCGGGGAAGAAGAGAAAAATTAAAACCCACAGCTGGGAGGAAAGGGGTGCTGTGGTATAGTAGCCTGGGCCTCCACTTGCAAGTGCTTGCATCCTATATTGGTGCTGTTTCAGCTGTCCCAGCTGCTCTACTTCCAACTCAGCTCGCTGCTTATGGCCTAGGAAAGCAGTGGAAGATGACCCAACTCCTTGGACCCATATACCCATGTGGGAGACCTAGAAGAAACTCTTGGCTCCTGGCTTCTAATTGACTCATAAGAACCCTTGTTCTCTAGAAAACAAAAACTAATGTGAAAAAAAAAATGTTTAGGAAGACAAAGTAACATACTTCATACTGAGAAAGAGAACAAACCAGCAGGAAATACTACATGATAGGGTATACACTCATTATCAACAGGATCAATTGGTCTGTTTATTGACAAGCAACCCTCAAATTTTAGTGGTATAACAGGTCTTTTTTTTCCATTGATAGTATTATCTACTACACTGATGTTATTAGCATGTCGAGAGGAGTGCTGCTCCAGTGCTGATCCAGGGACTTCGGTTGGTTAGGGTGGGGCCATCTCATAGCTCCACTTGCTGGAACATGTCACTGCCTCAGCCCAGAGAAGAGCTGGTGGGAAGTGGTCCCCCCAGCTCTGAACGCTTCCTCTCTCTTGGCTTCTCTCACAAGGTATTGGTCAGAGCTGGTAATAAGAGGCTATTACCAGGATGCCAGGGAAGGGAAGGCGCACAGCTATGCGGTGAGCTATGAACAACGGTGCCATAGCCTACAGCCTGTAGAGGAAAAACAAAATCACAGAGAATTACAAAAAGAATATCTTAGCATGCCTTTTTCCATAGCCAACCTAAAAAATAACTTTGTGTCTGGAATTCCTCCATCAGAGAAAAACTTCCTTGAGGCTTGAGCCCCTGTGTTTCTAACAGTTTCCCATTAAAATCCATTTGATCATCTGGAGCACAAGAACAGAAGGGCGGACATGATTCTCAGATCTCCTGAAAACAAGATCCAGGAGACAGAGGTCATGTGATGGGGTCAGGCAGGTGGCAGATGGAGTGGTAGGGGAGGAACATGTGATCAACAGGGGCAGAGAACAAAAAAGAGGGGTGTGTTGTCATGTCTACCAAGGACACTGGCAGGAGAAGAAGGGAGTATTAGAAAAACATGAAGAGACTGGATCAGAGGCATTGCATTTATGACTAAGACTTGAGCTTAGTTTATGTAATGGCTCGAAGCGTTGTAACCTAGGCAACTACAGTCTGCAAGCAGAGTCATCCTATGACCACCTTAGTTCAAGTAGGTGGATGTGAAGGAATGCAGTGCCGGCGAGAAGTGAACAATATATTGCTTTGTAGCTGTAAAGGGAGCAAAAAATTCTCATACTCTTGTTTCTGTGGTCTCATTTGATCCTCAAAGCAAACCCAGGCCAGCTAGGGAGACCTATTTGTGATTGAGTTTGTATCCTTATATTTAGCGTGTGATGTTCCAGAAAGGATTTAAGAGCCCTTGAAAAGATTTGCGAACTATACCAAGATATCAAAAAATAAAGAATACACTAACCATGTGCCATCTCCCCAGAAAGCATTAGAAATAATCTCACCCATGCATGAAAAACTTGGGCACTGGAAACTGCAAAATGTTGCTGAAAGAAATTGATCACCTGATCAGAAGGCTCTTCTGTGCTCTGGAATCAGAGGGCTCGATATTGATATCATGCCAGAAAGTGGGGAGAACCTGCAGTTAGCCAACAGCAGCTCTGTTGTGACACATGAACAGGTTTCCCAAGGCACTAGGGTCTCTCTTAAAAATGAAGCACCCCGAGCTGGACATTTGGCACAGTGATGAAGTTGCTACTTAGCATACCCACCCATCAGCAGGCCTGGCGTTCAGTCCTATTTCTGTTTCTGCTGCAGCTTCCTGCTAACATACCTCCCAGGAGGCAGCAGGGATGGCTCAAACACATGGGCCCATTCACAGTAAGAGAGACCAGGATGGAGTGGCTGGCTCTGAACTTCAGCTAGGTCCTTCCCTGGTGGTTACAGGCAGAGTGAACCAACAGATAGATTTGTGTCTGTCTGTCGCTTTGCATTTAAAAAAAATAGCCAGATGTTTGTTGACTAAAAATATGCCCTCAGCACATGTAGGAAATGAAAGAGAGGTTGCAGAACAAAATTTGTATCCTTTTGTTTCTTTCGTTCTTTCTAACTTAGCTTTATCTTCTCTCACTTACTCTCTTTCTGCTGTTCCTTTCTTCTTGAAAACTTTGAGAGTCTCCATGGTCTGCCACGGAGTGCAAGTGCCTGAGCCGAGCCTCCTCACAGGCTCAGACGGACGCGCACGTGGAGAATATGACAGTCTGTCGGAACCTGCAGAGGACACCTGGCACCACAACAGAGGTCAGAACAAATCAATCAAGTACCCCAGCCAAGTGTTGGCAGTGAAAAACTGGGCAAACAAGACTCTAAGGTGGACTATGTCCATCAGTGGATTCTGCAGAGATTTCACTGTGCTTGGAATGGTGAGATTGGCAGCAATTCAGAACTGTTGAACTAGCAAAACCACTTGAGCAAGACCCTCGGAGCATGCCCCACATTGGGGACCTGAGATGGGTGGGAAGCTGAGTGGAGCTTCTCCCTTTATCTCCCCCTTTACCCGAGACACAGAAAAAACAGTGTGGAAATAATAGTCTTAACCCACCTTCCAGTAGTCATTGAACCTTTGTGCCCTGATCAACGATGTAAAGATTGTCAAAAATTTTAAAAAATAAAAATAAACTTTGAGAATCAAGGCATCATATCATCTGCTAGTTAGCTCAGAGATAATACAGTTTCGGAAAATCCAAAGAGATACAGGAGTTGCAAGTGTTTTATAAATAGTGAATATGAAGACTTGTATAACCAGCATTCTTCCAAAGATACTTCCATTTAAGTTTTTACAGAACATTGATTAGTTCGAGCTGATCCTGTAGTTTCAATAGTTGAAATTGCAGCAAATGATGCTAGCATCACATATCAGAGTTCCAGTCAAGTCCCAGCTACTCCACTTCCATGCCACCTTCTTGCTAAAGTACCTGGGAAAACAGAGAAAGATGACCCAAATACTTGAGCCCCTCTCACCCTCATAGGATACCTGAGTGGAATTCCTGGTCCCTGGCTCCTGGCTCAGACCTGGCTGTTGCGAGCATTTGGGGTAGTGAATCGGCAGACAATGAATCTCACTAGCTCTCTTTCTCTCCCTTTCAAATATTCAAGAACATTCCTTGTGGAATTCATTTGTTAAACAAATAGCCATTAAGGGCATGCCTTCTGCCAGGCTCCCTTGTTGGATAGTGAATATCAAAATGAGTAAGAAGTGACCAAAATCCAGAAGCAAAAAATGAAGAATTCTGCTATGACCTTATTGGGTTTCACACATGCTGAAGAGTGATGCTTTGCAAATGCCACGTAAAATCTAGCCCAAACCCTGTGGATCTCTAAGGGCCTTCACTAAGTGAGGCTTCTGGAAACATCCTCCTCCTCCGGGGAGGGAGAGGGTATGATTTTTGCTGATGCCATGGCTCAACTGGCTAATCCTCCTCATTCAAGCACCAGTATCCCATATGAATGCAGGTTCAAGTCCCAGCTGCTCTACTTCCAGTCAAGCTCTCTGCTTATGACCTGAGAAAACAGTGGAAACTCACCTGAGAAAGCAGTGGGTCACTTTGGGACCCTGTACCCATACGGAAGACCTCCTAGTTTCCAATCAGCTCAGCTCCGGCCATAGAAGCCATTTGAGCAGTGAACCAGTGGATGAAAGATCTTTCTCCTTCTCTCTGTAAGTCTTCCTGTCCAATAAAAATAAAAAATTCTTTAAAAAGCAAAAGGAAAGAAACATAACTGGCTGTTCTTTCATGGTTTGAGTAAGGGTGGGAATGAAGAAAAAAAAAGAGAGAAAAGATGGTTCCTTTCACCTGATACCCAAGCACCTAGCAGCCAAGTCCCCGGCCCTAACACATGCACATGCAGAGCGTGTAATGGTTCCCCAGCTAGAGGTGGAGGGGCTTTCAGGCGTCTGTGACTTCCCATGAGTGGGAGCAGTCTCTTCCTCCTTGAAAACTTGTTTCCTGGACATGGTTAGGTCAAGGTCACAAGCAACCTCTTTTAAGAGTCTGTTTTCCCTTTCCATGAACGCCATGCCACAGACACATATTTTCACAAAAACATAGCAAGGCACAGAATCATGCCCTGCTCACGGGAATCTACTGACATTGTTGAGAACCAGCCTGCAGAGAATCTTCGCTGAGAGGGAATCAGACCAGGTGAGCCCTTCATCCTCAGGTGGTGGCAGCCACACCAAAGCTGGAAGTGAAGGAAGCCAGCCCAGCGCTGCTGCTTACACTCAGCTGATTCCTGTTCAGCCCCTCCGAACTGGTGACTGCCTGTGGTGCGATGCCTTTTTAGCAAATTCCCTCAGTTTTAGAAGGCAGTGTGTCGCTCACAAGGAGAGCTTTGTTTTAACTATTTATCTGACTCCAGGAGTACCGGCTTTCCTCTGGAAACAAAATTGTTGTCATATTGTAAATTATTCTTAATTTCTTTCCCCCAGTCAACTTTCCAGTATTGAGACAACTGTGCTGCTTCTCCCAGCTTCTCCCAGCACTCAGCCTTGCCTGACTGACTTACTGGAAGGCTTACAAAACAGGAAACATAAGCACCCCAGGAGGGCCACCCAGGCCTTTCTTCCTGAGGCAAATCTGGCAAGGATTTCCTTGAAGGTGACCTGACTTCAGTTACCAACGCCTTGATCAAATAGGAGGCACATCAGAACGCTCACGGAAGATAGAATTAAAACATTACTTTGTTGCAAAAACATTTGAAACCCATGCATACCAGAGATATTAAAAATATTTACACAAACAGTATCTTACAATAAAATTTTACTTGGATTTTTTAAATTTTTGCACCAGAGCAAGCATTTATAACCATCTTTTCCCATGAATTCTTTTAGTGCTCTCACATAATGTAAGCATACTATTGATTAATAGTGCAGCCTTCAGAACAGCCAGCCAGATGCTGAGTCATCCCTGAAGCTGCCCTCCAGACTGAGCTGGCAGCACATGACCATGACCGACAGTCGGGTAGCAGGAACTGTACGGGTTGATGCCTCCCCGTCCGTTCATTAACCTCATACTTGTTTGAGACTCACTGTGCCCATCTTACTGAGGATAAAGAAACGCTTCCTGGAATTGAGAGAGTGTGAAGATAGAAATCCGTGCACAAATACTTCCAGAACAGTTCAACAGGAACATGTGAGCTGTACAGCAGAGTTCGTTTTAAAGTGTAAGCTGAGGAAGGAAGCTCCAAGCCACCATCCCCTGAGGCTGCTTGGATGAATCCCATCTGTGAGGTTCCTTTGCTGCTTCAGGAACATGCCTGTGTTTCCCATGCACACTCAAAGACAGGTGTTTTACTTACTGATGTAGCTTTACCCACAACGTGCAAACTTGCTGACTGCAAAAGGAGAGAAAGAAAGAAGGAGAAAAGCAGAAAGAGGCGACATACACAGCAGTTAAAAGCTGGTCCCGCCTACTGTCATGATTTAATTCCAACTCTGAGATGAACAGCTGTGCTGTTTCATTCATTACTTAATTTCTCTGTGTCTCTGTTTCTGCATCTTGAAACTGAAGAGAAGAATGCTTTCTGCCTTGTCCTACGTGGCATGTACCAGGGTTTGAAGAGGGAGCAACACAAACAAAACCATATACAAGATGGAGGTTTTTGGCAGTGGGCAGGCAAGAGGGTTCCTCTTAGACAACAACGCAGTGCCTGCCGGGGGTTTCTATTTGTTTGATGAACCCTATTTCCTGTCAACTCAACTCAACTCACTTGTGAGATTTTTGTTTCCTGACTAATCATTTACCCTGTAGGACTCTTGAGGTCAATCATCGCACAGCTGGAAGGAAGAGAGCAACACATTTGGCAAACTGATCTAAGAAACGTGCTGCCCGAGGCTCTGGCCTTGCCAATCACGGACCTTGGCAATGTGATATTGCTCTGCTACAGCTTCCACTCTCAGAACCCGACACTGGTCTGTCTCGGTTCTTCTCTGGCTGCTGACGACTCCCTAATAACCTCTGACATCTGAACTTGTTATCCTAACAGCACCTACCTCTGGTGGATTCAGCTTTTGGCCCACTTATGCCTTACATGCAAAATGTCTTCACAGAGCTTGCAAACAAATATGGGAGGGACAGAACCTCCAGAAAATGCAATTAAAAACAATAATGAAATCTTGGAGCCAGCACATAGCATAGCAAGGTAATCTGCCTGCAGCATCAGCATGCCATATGGATGCCAGTTCATGTCTTAGCTGCTCCTCTTCTGTTCCAGCTCTTTGCTTATGCCCTGTGAAAGCAGCAGAGAATGGCATAAGTCTTTAGAACCCTGTACCCAAAGAAGATGACGGATTCTGGTGTCAGAGCAGCTCAGCTCCAAGCAGAGTGAACCAGTGAATGAAAGATCTGTGTGTGGTCTTTCCGTCTCTCTGTGTAACTCTGCCTTTTATTTTTATTTTTATTAATTATATTGCATTATGTGACACAGTTTTATAGGCACTGGGATTCCCCCCACCCCTCCCTAACCGCTCCCGCCATGGTGGATTCCTCCACCTTGTTGCATTACAAAAGTTCAAATTCAGTTGAGACTCTTTCATTGCAAGCATCTACTAAGCATAATAACTCTGCCTTTCAAACAAAAAACAAAATAAACCTTAGACACACACAATAAAACAATAATGAAATCTTATTTTGAGGGGGCCAGCATTGTGTACAATGGGCTAAGTTGCTGCCTGAGATGCCAGCATCCCATATCAGCTCCAGTTCAAGTTCTGGCTGCTCCACTTCCAATCCAGCTCCCTGTTCATGTGCCTGGGAATGCAGGGGAAGATAGTCCACGTGCTTGAGTCCCTGTCACCCTCATGGGTGACCTTTATGGAGCTCCTGGCTCCCGGCTTATGCCCAGCCCTTGACACTGAGGCCATTTAGAGAATGAACCCCTGGCTCTCCATTTTTTTTTTTCTGTAACTCTAAATAAATCCTACAATAACAAAAGAAATTTCTATTTTTTCCCATCAAAGAACGTTTTACTTATTTTAATTTTGTTTCTTCCAGTTAATTCTTTATTCTGCTTTTTTTTTCTCTCTGCTCATAGTAATTTATTCTCTTAAACATGACGGAATAAGATGAATAATTGAATGCTGGGGGAGATGTGGTAAAGTTGGCAAAATCCAACACTGCTCGTGGCACGCTTTGAGGCAGACATTTGGCAACATGAATGAAGACTCTTAAAGCCTTTCAAAGACTCTGA